GACAGATATGGATATGGCAGCAAGAAGAGCCTGGTGGGCAATGTCGTCGGGCGAGAAATACATGAGATGCGCGGGACTGCGAGGATCGAGGCGGAGGAGGTCCATGCCGACTTCCTTCATGGATAGGTTGAGGTAGACTGGAGGCTCGGAGCTGTGGCCCATTTCGATCTGTTTGGTGAGACCAAGGAATCCAATCGCGAACTGGAATTCATGAATACCGCGGAGGATGGAGCTGGCGAACTCACGCGAGTCGGATACGGTACGGACGAGGTTTTCTTCGCGGCTGTTGGGGTCGTCGAGCTCTTCCATCACATCGCTGAGCGATACATGTGTCCGACTGCCACGAGATCGCTTCCGAGGGACAGGCGCGCGACACTTCTGCGCCCTTTCCATGCACAGCTTGACATCGTCGAGTGGAATGAGAAGGCGACCCAGCTTGAGTGCGATAGATGCATCGCGCAGACCCTCAAGGCCTTTCTTGAGGAAGCCGTGAACGTTGAGGGTACAGTGATCCAGTAGTTCGGTCGACTCCCTGCCCTCTGGGGTGAAGAGGATGCTGCGGGCGGAGAAGAGCCATTCGGCGGGCCACTGCTCCTCGTCTGACTTGGGCTTGTGGTGGTTGAAGAGGCGACTGCGATCGACCGTCTTGCGCCGTGTGTCGACTGCGAGATTGAGGCCGCCGACCTGGATGGAGCCCACGTCGACTACGACCAGGGTGGTCGCGTGCGCCACGACATCGACCTGCCTGAGCCAGTTGATGTTCCTGTGCAGGCGCTTGATCTTCTCCTTGGCATCTGTCAGCCGCTTCCACGTCAGGCTTCGCGGTGTCTCGTCATCGCCCAGCTCGTCGTCCTCCGCCACGGGCTCGGGCGTGTTCTGGCCGCTCTTGCCCTTTTGTGTAGTGCCGTTTGCCCAATGGGCCCATCCCGTCTTCTTCCGCGGCTTCTCTCCCAGCGCTTTGAGGTCGACCGTGACCTTGAGTTCGTGCAGGACGATGCTGACTACTGTGGGTTGTGCGAATGTGGGTCGGTGAAGGGTGAAGCCGAGTCCGCGGATCTCGATGCGCAGGCCATCCTTGGGCGTGAAGGCAATGCGTCGCAGCCCCCGTAAGCCCAGGCGCTGTATGGAGACCCCGGTGGCGATGCGTATAAAGGCGAATAGGACAAAGGAGAGCAGGTATATGAGGAGCACGAGCCCCGCGAGGAACTGGAGGGTTGGCAGAGCCATGATGCTGCTTCAACCGTATGCCATCGACCGAGTCGAGGATTATCGAACGAGGTGGTCGCGAGTGCACGCGACGTGCCTGAGTGATGGGAGAGTCGGCCGGCGGAACATAATCGAAGGGAGCGCGGGCGCAGGGCTACGAGGGTCGCTGCATCGAGGGCGAGGGTGTACGTAGGTGAAAGCGCGGACTTAACGGTCGGGGCAGATGAAAGCGGCCAAAGCGGCAGGCCCGGATCGCGGCGCTGGGTCGTAGCGGCTGTGGCTAGTGAAAAATTCAGGGCGAACAGGAGGATCTCGATCCAGTAAACTCAATGTAGGCCCTCTCCAAACACTCTGCGGGGCTCCGTATTTGCTTCGCTTGGTGTCTTGTGCTGATGCCGTCAGATTTCCAGGTTCCCACGCTTCGTCGGCACGACATCCCTGCATCGCCAAGACCCACCCGCGTACCGGGAAGGAGCTTAAACGCTCCTGCCACGCGACTGTCACCCAACGACCCTTCTGCGTGCTGGCTGAGTCACGCTCACGTGCCACAAACTTGTACTGGCATGAATGTCTGTTTCCGTGGTGTTGGACTGAATGGCTTTCCTAGCTGAACCAACCCAATCGTCCATGTAGCCAGTCGTTCCTGCCAAGCACGACCGATCGCGGCTGTCTGCATACGTGGGACGACAGATCATGGAACCTCATCCCGCATTACGGCCGAACTGCAACGGCGTCGGGAACAAAGAGACGCTATCCTTGCGGTGGATCATTACCTTCGAACCCTTCAAACTTCTCCAGGTCATCTCTCAATTCCATTTGTACACGCACTGGTCCCAGCGCTGTCGGTGAACTTGACTGGATGATTGTCCATCGATGTCGCCTTCCTCTGAGCGTTCAATGCGGCTTCCTCGAGGCTTCGCGCCTTCGCAACAGGTGCTCATCTCCCGATATCCGGCAGGAAGCGCGTGCAAGTAGAAAGAAGCGAACGATGTACCTCAAACTTGGAAACGTCGCACCTCCATCACCATAGCACATCACATCGCCAGAATATGGATAGCCACAATCCTCACGCAAATATACATAGTGCAGCTCCGATTGGGAGTGCAAGGAACACGCTACCCATGATTCTTCCGCCACCCCACCCAAAAGAATTCTTCCGCTACACAGATCCCGTCGGCCTCACCTACATATATGCATTCTCGTTGAACGACGCACAAAACGTCATCTCCAAAAGCGACCCCAATTACAAAGCCAAGTCGCCCATCGCAGTCTTCTAGGCACGAACAGCGGATGTCGCCGACAAGCCCAGGACACCATGGCATCTTATCAACCCAGTTCTACCCGTCGCTCATTCCAAGATGCTTTGGACACATAATAAATGTCGCCCAGAATCCATGGTCGTTTGTCGGGAAGATTTTCGCGTGGCGTCGGGCGAGATGATCCAAAGGGAATACCAATGGCGAGATTGGCAACACAATGACGAGGCTAGGTGCTTTGTAAGGGATTCGCCAAGCATCGCGAGCACAGCAGGTATCAGATACGCTGCACCGGAAATAAAGGATGCGAAAACAGCATGGGCTCACTAAGAGGAGTGTCGGGACAGGGCTACACTCGCGAGATTTGGGGGTAAGTTTTGACTGCACGAAGTGCATGTGAAACATATACTGACTTCGTACCTCTACCGCTGCAGTACCGAAAAAAGGAGCAGGAGCACCTCGGGTTCAGAGGCCTCTTCATCGCAAAACCTTCATGCGTTATGCCTGATTAACTAAGAGGGCGCTTTTCCACTTCTTGCTATGCTGGTGCGTAGCTGAGGGCTCAATGCCTAGTGTTTGTCAGTTTGGACTTGGCGGATGCACGTATTCATCCACTGATCAAATTCATCTCTGCCGCTTACAGACGTTCATGCTGTCTTTTTTATCGTTTCACTAAGTGTTCGTCCAATATCACTTATCTAAGCAACATGTTTTTCGATGTTCTTTCATCAACAGCAAACCCGGACACCTACCGGTCCATTTTTTGGATGCACTCATTCCACGACACGGCTGGGCAACTATCACCAGCATCCTGGTGGTCATATCTTAAGGCCTTTGATATCCATGGTATCACATCAAATTCCATATTGATGGAAGGTCGTGGATGTCTCAACTTGCGTTCTCAGTGGTGCAGAGACGCGGAAGGTGGTGACGTCATAGCAGGGCGCGCTCAGGTCGAGCCACGAACCATCACTCTTACTCCGTCATTTCCGTCACCACAACGCGATGCGCTGGCTTTACTACGACTCTGACGCGTCTTATATGTCTTTACAGGACAACATGATATTTGACGCGCATTTGACACGCGAGCAGTGGCATCGTGTTCGCGTTCTACGGGTTATTGACTTCGAAACAGTCGCTAAGAGAACGCAGGTCGATGCATCACGTCCTAGCGAGCGCGCCTCCACTCGACCATGAACCAAACTCGTCGCATGCACATTGCGGAAGTGTCACCGCACGTCAATCACGACACATGACCTCGCGACCGCCTTCGCTGCTGCGGGGACCTTGTTAGCTTCAAAGGAGCTCTGACCGTCAGCCATGATGTCCGGAAAGAGTGAATGGCTAGACTGCAGCGACTGCAGCGAGAGTTGCTACGTCGGATCTCAGCAGAACCCTGCCTTTTATCGACACTTCTTTGCGAAACCCCTTTGTTTGTCAGTCAGTCATCACTTCAGAATACTTACACTCAACATACGCCGCTACATCCTAATCTACCTTGGTGGGCTTGGATACTTCAAAACCATCATCTACAATATGCGTACCCGACCCGACGTCTGCGAATGGTTCCGCGGCTGCCCGAACCCGGCTCTCATACACTACGCCTTCTCGGATATTTGGCTGTGCAGCTACTGCATTGGGGACACGCGAATGGAACTCCCTTTGTGTGCGAAAGATGGCTGGAGACGTGGCAGTTGCGTTGACACCGACAGTCAGCAATGGTTTTGCGACTCACATGCAGTTCGTTGCGAAGCCATCGTTGGGAGACCACAAGGTCAATCTATCGGGAATTCACATCGATGTATGCGTATTGGGGCTCTCTACGAAAGCAATGTGCTTGACCGGTACTATTGCATCGATCACATGCCAGACAATCAAGTCCTACATGATGCTGAGCCAGTTGCGAACGTGGCGATTAGCCCTCCGATGATCTCGCAGACTCTCCTCTCCACGCCACATCTCGCGGGTGTAGTCTCAGTGCTACGAGACCACCCAGCAACAGCAGTAGCTACACCACCCCTGGCAACTCATCACAATTTGGACATCTTTTCGGCTGTGGTGGATACGGAATGTTGCACTTGCTTCGAACCACAGCGGAGCATGCGTCGACTTATCGCCTGCAACCACATGTTCTGTGAAGATTGTTTGTCGAAGCAGATCAACGGGCCATATGCGAGGGCTCATGACTGTCCGCTTTGTCGGAAAGATATCTTTGATCTGAGAGGTACGGAGTAAGAGACAATTTGAATGTCGAATTATTAGATCGTGTGCTGCAGTGTAATCCTCGGCCTTCCTTTTGCTTCAACAAGACGTAGCCATCTGTTTCCAATCGTCTTGATTCTGGCTTGCAATGTATTGTTCATCAACTAGTGCTTTTCACCTCTGTCCTCTCTCACTTCACCATCCATGACTGTTTTTTTTTAGCGAGCGGGTCAAAGCGTCTTATCGCGTAACGTCTGCTTTCAGGGCATCTTCCACATTTACTCTCGCCAATACAGTCAACGACTTCTCTGAAACCCAAGCAGCAATCTCGACAAGATGGCGACATCATCACCGCTGGCGTATGCAACGTAAGTGATCACCACCGACCAGTATATTGGTCTTGCTGACTGGAAGTTTATTACAGCCTCTTCAACAACCCCACCTTCTCCGATATCAAGATCCGGCAGATCTGCGGCGATCGTGTTAAAGAGTACTTCGGACACAAGGCGGTGCTTTGTTGTCACTCAAAGTGGTTCATGCGGGCGCTGACCGGTCGCTTCAAGGTACGGGTCTAATCCGTGATCATACTGGTCATGTGCTAACATGAAGGTTCAGGAAGCTTCTGAGAGCGTCATCGAAATGAAGGACGACGACCCCGACCATTTCGAGATCATGCTGAAATTTCTCTACACGAACGAATATGAACTCTCAGTCGAGGAAATGGACGCACCACAGCTGGTCGAGAACTTCATCCACCCTGTTGGAGTGCATCTCCTAGCAGACAAGTACGAGATTGATGGCTTGTGTATTGCTGCGGCCAATGCCTTTGGTTGTCCCGATTCCTGGGAGCACAGCGACTGTTGTTTCAAGATCGACACGGATGGGCTAAATCAAGTGGTCGGTGTGCATTACGGTGCTTGCGCACTTGTCGGTTCTGACATGGGCGGCCGCATTGTCAACTACATGTTTCGACATTGCAAGACGACCGACATGGCTATGCAGATCGGTCACCTTGTCCACAGCTTCCCCGCATTTGGCGCGGACATCGTGATAGCAGAGCTGAGACTCAGATGCTTGGGACAATGTGCAAAAAAGCACAAATAGGTATCTGGCGAGATGAAGACGGTCCCTACGACGTACAGAAAGCCGAGCATGACATGTAATCTTACAGCCAGAGAATGTATCGTATTCCATGACTGACCTTGGCTGGACAGACACAAGTATGTTTAGTTACCCAAAATCAGCCTCCGATCTAGCGTTGAACATCCAATATGCTGCTGCCCTCCCACTGACCCCACAACTTCCGCATAACACCCTGCCTCTCCATCGTGTCCTGCAGATCCTTCAGCGCAGCAAGCCTTCCACTCCCATCCTTCATCTTCCAGTTCCAGCCCTCCGAGCGGCCAGACATGACGAGCTCCCACTTCGCCTTGTTGTCAACCGGCTGCACATGCGCACCAGGCTCGCTATACACCGTGACCACATCGCGAGCTTGCAGAAAGGCGAAGTTGGATGTACCCTGCATGCATTCGCGGATCTCGAGGACCTTGAGGGCGAGATGCGGGTTATAGACGCGCGCAGTATCTGGTCATGTTAGTTTCGTATCAGTGAAGTGACAATGTAACAACGTACTGAGGATACCAATCTTCATTTCATCAGCCACATCCGCAACAGCGACCTCCTTCCCCTCGTGACCCGTCTTCTCAACCATCCTCACGTTGATCTGGCGGCCGCCCACCTTGCTCCAACACAGCTCTTGTACCGCGCGCTCAGCCTCTCCCTCTCCAGCGATCTTGACGAATGTGCGTAGCGGATAAGCGAGGTTCTTGACGTTGGGGAGCGCGAAGTCGGGCGAGATCGTGAAGTCCTGGAAGAGCAAGATCATGTCGCGGTGGGTGAGCTTTGGTGGGTAATTGGAAAGCTCGATGGTGGTCCAAGACATGTTGGAGACTGAGGGTGTGGGAGAGGGAGTTGGTGTAGGTGGTGTGATTGTTATGGTGATTGGGTGAGGGAGTGGGAATCGAGGTGGGGCGAGGCGGTCTAGGTGCAGTGAGCGGACGGTCTTGGTGAAGATCTGGTGAGCGAGATTGGTCGGCTCGTCCGTTTGCGCTTGCGGTGTAGTCATTTTGGTCTACGATTTGTGATTAGTAGTGTAGGGGGAAATGCTGTTCAATGGCAAAGAGGTTCTGGTGTTGCGGTTATGTGAGAGGTTGAGATGCTAGGTTCAAAACTGCTCGGAGTTTACTATCTACTAGATGATGATATCCTCAGTCACTTTCACATCGAACTCGCATTCACCACTTCAATTGAGAAACGGTGGGAAGGAAAAAAGTGCTTAGGATCATGACGTATCTAGGCAACTACATCGTCTTTTCGTAGGTATATCTCAGTGATGATCAAGTAGCGTGGCGATAGTCGGACTACCAGCATCTTACTACCGTCCACAGCAAAGGGCTGTGAAGCTACCAGGCACTCTTATCGTCCCGACCTCCGTTTTCAATTGACGTCATGTAGTTGGCAACTCGACTTGATCCTTTTCGTGAAGGGGAGGAGTGAGGAGGAGGCGCGTGCCCACGTGGTGAAGTGGGGCCATGATCTGACGCGTAGTAGTCCATTCGTCGCACAGCCTTTCGACACCGCTCCCAACCGCGAACAGCAACGACAAGATGGAAAGCGTCTACGTACCGCCACACCTTCGGAAGAAGGTAGAGCCCACAGCGGTATCAGACGTGCCCACGACACCCGTCGCAATACCATCAGCGGTGCCCAGCTGGAAGTTCCAAGAACGGTCCGATGACAACTTGTACACCGTCCAGGAAATCCACAACTACTTCTGGGGAGAGGGTGCCGTCACCGAAGATGCACATAACGCTACCCTCCATTCCTCCGCGACAAACCCGAACAGTCTATCGTGGGTGCTGTTGTTCAATGGCGCGAACCCGAAGTGGGACGAGGACGGAGTTATATTCGTCAAGAGCAACCTGAACCTTCTCACGGTAGCCACACCTCATTCCGAGCCTAAAACAGTAATCGCCGTCGCAGTACCCGCACAACGATTAGACAAACCGGGTGAAGAGGGAGGTGTCATGCTACCAACGAGCAGCGAAGTCGCAGACGAGGATTACGAGGAGGGTTCATCGAATGGAACACCGGAGCGCACCACCACTGAGCCGCTATCGAATCACCACAGTGAGAGAGTTCTCATCGACTACTCTCCAATCGCCGTCTTCTCTCAGCCTGTCCGGAGTGCTAGCCGATCATTCAAGTTCATCGGATGGTACGAGATTGAACACTTACAAATCCTCGAGCCTGGTTCCCAAGGGCTGCTTCACATGTTGTGGGACAAGTGGAAGACGAAGGACAAATATGGCAACTATGTACCAAGACAGCGAGGCTCCGTCAATTGGATGAAGAGCATGTCTTACTCGTGGGCTGTTGTCCAGATGAAGAAAGACGAGGAAGCTACGATGAGCAAAGGGGAACCGAAGATTGAGCGAAGGGAAGATGACGAGGATATGTCAGGGAAGAACGGAAGACAGAGCGTCAACGAGATGCTTGCCAAGATGAGGCTCGAAGGAGAAGGCAAACTGCTGGCGCCCGAGGAAGAGAAGACTTGAGAACGCTTGCTGCGGACTGATCTGTGTATGATTGGATTATCGAAACGACATCGCACAGCAGCGATGTGATGCAAATGCAATGATGGGCGAAATAGTGTCAACTTCAGATACTAATCGAGGTAGTGACACCGAGCTTGTAGTCATCTGCTCAATATGAGAAGCCCTTCTTGTACCGTAGCGTCTACTCAAAGATCCCTGTCATCTTATCCACGTCCTCTCCCATCGACATCCATGTGTTGTGTATCTGTCCTTGAAACATTGAAGATAGAAAAGTGGCATGAGTGATGTTTAGCCGGATGAGGCAGCCGCGTCCAAAATGCGGAGGTCGACGCGCTCCGATTGGTAGTGTCGGAGAAGGCCGATGGTGGGGCTGCCGCGGGGTATCGTCACCACTTGGGATACCATTGCCGTCCGGCTCATTGCTTATCGGCAATTTATCGTCTTTTTAATTCTGTTTCCTTATTGTGCGCAGAGTCAATTGCTTGAGTTACGAACGCTCCCTTCACTGCCCAGTTGCCACAGCCATCTCCTTATCCCGAAATAACAGCGCCGATCACCCAAGCAGCACCCCACCAAACCCCTGAACGCGGCGAAATGACCGAGTCAATCCCCAAAACGCAAACCGCAGGCTGGATCCAAGACCCCGGTCCGGATTGCGTCCTCCAAATCCGAAATGACGTCCAAGTGCAATCCCCTTCGGCCGGCGAGCTCCTCGTAAAGCTCGAATACAGCGGCATATGCCACAGCGACTGCCACAACCTCGTTTCGCCTGGGAAATACACTAAGGTGCCTGGGCATGAAGGAGTGGGCACTGTCGTATCGCTGGGTCAGGGGGTGTCAGAGGACCTGCTGGGAAAGAGGGTGGGCATAAAGTGGCTGTGGAATGCGTGTAAAGAGTGCAGTAGCTGTAAACAAGGCAAAGAGAACCATTGCGCCAAGCAGAAGAATACTGGAAGAAGCGTCTGGGGTACTCTACAGCAGTACGTGGTCGCGGATGCGGAATTTGTCACTATGATCCCGGAAGGAGTTAAGAGCGAGATCGCAGCGCCACTCCTTTGCGCAGGTCTCAGTCTCGCGGGCGCTGTGTCCAAGCTGACACCAGAGGTCAACCCCGGTGACTTCGTCGCTATAATTGGTGCTGGAGGAGGTCTTGGACATATCGGTGTGCAGATTGCTACCATCAAGGGATACAAAGTCATTGCGATTGACAGCGGTGCCGAGAAAGAGAAGCTCACGAAAGAGATGGGCGCGGTAGCGTTTGTGGACTACGCCAAGCAAGACGTGTTGCAAGCCGTGCGAGATCTGACGGATGGAGAAGGCGCGCATGGTGTCATCTGTGTTGCAGGTAGCGAAAGAGCGTATCTTCAAGCTCCTGCTTTGGCAAGGAACAGTGGCGTGTTTGTTTGCGTGGGGCTTCCGCCGGATACGTTCATGTTTCCTATGAGCCCGATCCACATCGCGAATAGAGGTATGTTCTTGCACCGATTTCGGTTGCAACAGGACTCGTGCTGACATAACCAGGACTTGTCATCAGAGGATCCTCAACCGGTAGCGCCAAGCAAATGGATGAACTGCTACAGATGGCTTTGGAGGGCAAGATCACACCAAAGGTTGAAGTTTACGACTTTGCCGACTCACCGAAGATTCTTCAGGAGTTGCAGCGTTATGAGGTTACGGGTAGGAAGGTGGTACGGGCACCGTAAAAGTTTGGTCAAGATTTTCGGAGTGTAGTAGTTGAGCGCGTGCATTAAGGTGGTGTTGCGCATGTGCGCGGTGTGGCGTTGAAGCTGATCAAAGCACGGAGTTTAGCATGTAACAGTGTGAGAGCGATGCATGACGAGGAGTTGAGGGCTTGTCGTGGAGTAGGAGCTAGAGTATAGGGTGTGTTGAAGGCGCAATGTGATACCCTTGTAAAAGATTCGGGCTGTAGAGGAGCGCGATCATGACGAATGCCTTATCCTGAGCTTGCTAAGACGCTATACGGGTCGTCCGGACATCCCCATGCTATCGCGTACATTAATCATTACATGAATGTCGACTAATACCAGTCTCCGCTCTCTTCGTTTGCCTTCACGTCCATAGGATTCATACTCATAATCCGCTGCCCGGGTATCGTGTCCGTGAACGCACTCTCAAACACACCACTAACAGCTCTTCGTCCAATCTCCTTGAAACTGTCGTATTCCTGGTTATCACCAGTGATAGCACTCCATTCAGGGTCCTCGGGGCTGCGCGCAGGACCTAGATCACTCCATCGCGTTACGATGAGAGCTTGCTTGAAGCGCTCAGGGCCGTTGCCGCGCACGCTCTTGTCTTCAACAAGTTTGAGTTCGAATAGGTATTCTGTCGGGCATCTGGGACAGCGGCGCATCGGTCGGCATATAGAACAGAGGTTCACCATGCCAACAGCCTTTTTTCCTAGGCTGCGTTCGCGGAACTTGTCGAGAGCGGTCGTTTCGGATTCGTGTGTATGGGGAATATGTGACAGTGCACATTTAGGTATCGATGTTAGCAGCCCGTGCTTCCAATGTGCGCAAACGCTGAAGTAGGGGGTGAAGTCTCCACGGCTGAACAAAAGCATACGCTTTGCTGCATCTGTCATCCCCCCTTCCACGTACTGTTGTGATCGGATTCGCATCAATAGGTGACCTTTGTCTGTCATGTGATAGGTAGAATCATGCCTCCAGGTCGAGTAGGTGTCTTTCCAACGGCGGCCTAGCGACTGGTGAGGAACGCCGTAATCTGCGCCGTAAGCCCAATGGCGTCGGGCTAATTGAGCGAATGCGAACGGTAACGTGCGACCATCGCTGATACGGAGCCTTGGTGGAGGAATGTGAACGTTGGTTCGATTGGGGCACTCAAAGAGTGGGTTGAGAACATTCGGAGGTTTCATTGTCTCCATACCAGGCTGAATGCGCAAATGCCACTGTGCGCATGGGAAACAGAAAAGATGGCGTGGCATCTTGTGGTCCATGGAAAGTAGAAAGTCGAGCCGTTGCGGCCGGTGGAGCGGATCCATGAGCAATTTGTATGGGTGCCTGCCTAGTCGAGCGTACATAGTCCGGCATGTAGAAGATAGGTTCGCAACTTCGAGTGGTGATAGGAAGTCTGCAACATGAAGCCACACTTCAGGTGATGCGCTACCGAGTAATGCTGTTCCGTCGGGCTTCGTAGGATCATAGAGTAAAGATACATCATCCCGTTCTTCCTCAATCGTATCAACACCATCAATGTATGTGAAAGCATGCATCATGTCTGTCAGGTCTTTTCTTTCTCCCGTATCTTTGTCAAGGACGTCGTCGGCTCTGACAGCCTTTGAAGGCGCTCGATGAGACTTGGTCAGCTTTGAAGGCTGCGATCTCGATGGCGCGTATGGTAAAGTCTGCTCATTGCCCGACTGTGGTATTGATGCAGACCTCGAGCTGTGTGATTGATATAAAGGTGCGGCATATTGTGGTTGTCCTTCTGAGTTGCGGCGGTAATCGGCTGCTTGTTGCCCAGGTTGTAGGTAGGCGTTGCTGGTGTCCATGAGAGCATTAACAGCAGCATATGGATGATCACGCAACGCATGCGGCGCAAGGCCAGTGATGTCTTCATTGGTAGGTAAGCCAAAACTTTTGTCTGAAAGATCGGTTCTCTCGTTCGTGAAGCTGCCAGAATCTTGGCGGTTGGGATTCGCCACGTTGGTGGTCGAGTCAAGCTTTCCGAGCATATCGCTTCGTGATCCCTTCTTGGAAAGTTTCTTCCGCGTAGCCGGCTCTTTTGGTTGTTTCCCTGATCGCATGCCAAAAATGGCGCGCAAGCCGCTTTTCTTGGTTTCCTGTTCCGCCATAGTGGAGAGAGCTGCAGCTAGTCGTGCAGGTGATTAGGGGATGTCGCTGAACTCAAGACGGAGGATGAGGCTCGGTCGATACAGATGATGGACAGTATGGTATGCGCAGGTGGTACTGATACGGTTCCCCAGAGAAATCGGTTGTCAAAAGATGTTTATCGAAATTGCAGCAGGGTGGATGATCATCGTCATAGCGTGGCGGCTCGTTTCGGCAGAGGATCCGTACTCATCCGCTCAATTCGTCCACTAGTGAGCTCAGTCTGTGGGTACGCATGTCGTCATGGGTGAAGTGTGCATGCGATGAGGTGCAGTCCAGACCGCTTAAAGATCACGATGTTGGAGCTGGCAATGCGCGATGGGATTGTGGGCACGCGTAAGGTGCGCGACATGCATTGACCATCTGACGTAATCCGCTAGAGGTTTGCCGATCCCCTTTAGTCTCCACCAGACCCAACCTCCTCGTCAACGAAGAACAGCATGCGCCTTTGACCCGACTACAGTCCGGTCTTGTTTGGCGCCTTACGGGCAGTAGCTCCCCGCTTCTTATTGAGAGCAAATGGCAATTTGGATCACTCGAGCACGTTCGAAAGCGACGCACATGGACAACCAGTTGATCAGAGCTTTTGTTCGAATTGGCGGATTTTAGACGTTCAAAGCAGATGAGCATGTACAGCATTGCACTCGGCAATTGAGCATCGCAAAGACCCGATCAGGAGCGCGAAAGGACTGTCGCTCCAGACATACCCGCTCTTAACCACCACGATAATCATTCCCAGCCAAACCTTTCACCTTTTCTTGCCTATCCTCTGTACGTCGAAACAATCGGCCCGCACGATCCGAACCCACTTTACCGTTCGAAGATATCAGTCAATACCAAGCTTGGAGACAGCTGCCGAAAGCTCATCTTCCTGAGGCCCATCGCCCGCAGGTTGTGTTGTAGGACGTCGCACAATTCTACCCAAGTCTCAGCGGAGAACCTCGATGGCATCGCGATCCTGTACTGACTGCATACAGCTCTGGATACTGAGATCATGTAGCAGAGCCGTCAATCGACCACATTGATGAGTATCAGCCATAGCGTCAAGCGCCGGTGCAACAGGACGGATAAAGCCGACCAGTATCTCCAAGTTCTTGTGCAAGAAAAGATGCTCTGACTGCATTATGACCTCTATCATGTCGAGCGTAACGGTCTGTACCCAGGTTGGAGCGTCAATCTTCATGGCTCCAGAGATGCTCTTGAGCAAACGTTCGATAGCTGGCAATTCCCAATTCGGTGTTGTGGTGAACAGCTTCCAGCTGGTTTTGATCTCCTGGTCGAGCTTCTGAAGTGGAATGAGGCTGAATCGACCCTCGCTGTATACGTAATGGAACTCAGGAGAGTCTATATGCTCGCCCACAGTATCCTCTGTATAGTTCTGGTAGAGGTTGGACCGCCCCAGTTCGTTGCACATGAGCTCTAGTTCGGCCTTCTCCTCATCCGTCTTTTCATAGTCCGCCGCTTTCAAAGCCTGTAGGATGTCGGTGACGCGGCTAGATTGCGAGCTCTCGTCTGCGGTATCAAGCAGAGGGATGACTTTGTATGCGAAGGTAGCGAATGTATCGAAGTTATTGTGGAACGGCAGGCAGGGTGACGTAGCCATCTTCTCCAATAAACCGCACCCCAGATGCCTCGCTATCGCCAATCCGCGATGTTCAACCGGAAAGGCTCTGAAAAAGCACAGTGAGAACTCCAGGACGTTGATTGATTCAGGTGCCCATTCCGACTTGGCAATGAACTGTCCAGCAACTTCGAGAATGTACAGGCCGGCGATGTCGGCGCCCATGAGCCTTTTGACGAAGACTTCGAGCTCCAGATCCGGATCGATTGCGGTGAACAGTGCCCTAGTGCCGTCAAGTTAGCCGTGGACTATTACACCCCGACTAATATCTTACCTGTAGAACTTTACGCCTATTGCTATGGCCCAGCTCGATCGACTCACAATCCTGGCGTTGACGACTTCAACGAGGCGGTGAAGTTTCGATAGGTCTCTGCCGACAAGTGCGAGGAGCAGCTCAACTTGATAGCGTATTGTGCTTTCCGGGGTCTGACCATCTATGGAGGTAACGATATCGCGGACAGCCTCAGTGAATTCGAAATGCTCTTGGTATACGTCGCTTGGAAGCTGCGCGGACAAGTCGATAGGTGGCCCCGTAGCTGCAGCCATCTTGTCGTAATGTTCTGGATGCGTGAGATCAGTAATGCGTGCGAGGTAATTCTACGCGTCGAGGTGGTGCGACTCGACACAATGGGCAGGAGCAAAGAATGAAGGCTTGGCGTTGGGCGCAGGGTCAGGGTCTGGCACACTGGCGGCGAAGGTGCGGCTACGATAGTGACACATGGTAGTAGTACATTGGCTGCTGAGAACAATCGCAGCAGCCAACTATCCGATGTGTTCCTATAGTACAAGAAGCCAAAGCTGTCTGCCAATCGTGCATGATAATCAAGCCTTTCACAATTTGCGTTATGTCAGATCTTTCCAAGGTTGCTGTCACATGGCCCAACCCTTCTCCCTCAGAGCGATGAGTCCTGTAACCTTGATCTTGGACATGAGATCCTGGTCCGTCATCACTGTGCGCTCCCGCACCTTCTCCAACACCCGTGTAAGCTCCACTTCAGTAGGCGGATTCTCATCCAGTCCACGCGCAACGAACTCCACGTACTCGCTGAAGAAGTCGACATTGTTGTTGCTGTACAGATGCTCTGCATTGACCATCATGTCTAGGATCCAGATGTTTGTCTTATGTGACATGAGAAGAGGTGATGAATTTGCGTCGGCTTCAGAGGTAGAGGTACAAAGTCACTATATGTCTTACATGCACTTCGTAGAGGCAAGACTTACCTAGTTCAGCGAGGAGCCACATGCGCGGTTGGCACCATGCGGCTTTCTGCATGTCGGCTTGAAAGTCGGCCAGCGAGCGGTTGTAGATGTAGTGCTGGACGAGGCGCGGGCCAGAGCGTAGCTTGTTGTTGCCATCGGGGAGGACGTTTGGGTCGGCCAGTGTTGCTGGGATGAGAAGGCAGAGATAATTGAGGAGCTTGACTGCGACAAATACCCAGTTCCTGTCTTCCATGGCACTCGCGTAAATGATGTCAACCGTGTACTTCAGCTTGGCTGGGTCCGCGTCGATATTGGCGGTCACCTCGCGCATGACGGCTTCAGCAGTCTCGTCCAACACGTTCACTGAGATGTTGAAGATCAGGTGGACGACCGCCATGCGGAACATGTCGGTAAAGACGAGCGAAGGAGCGATGATCGGGGCGTTCATGTTGAATTGAGACGAGTGCAGGTGGTGTGGTATTGCGGTGTTGTGGATGTAGAATGGTTGGTGTGAGCAAGTTTTAGGCAGGCAGCAAGCTTTGCACTGGAAACTCTTCGAGGTCGCACAAATCGTCTCGACAGGGTCTTTTGACTAATGCAAATTGAACATGACTTTGTTGCTCGCAGAAGAGATTTTCTTCAGCTTCTCGACCTCCACGTAGAGTTACGCGCGATCATATAATCTTTGCTTTGAATGGCCTTCCAGATGCCCCAAAATCCGCCTAATGGCCAGATGCCTCTCAGTCTCAATCCCATATCCTTGTTTGCCATACTCGTGTACTTTTCGATATCGACGTGCACTTTGTCATACGCCTCAGGTAGCATCTCCGCGTTGTACTTCTTCCTCAACCCTTGGTGCCATTTATGATCGAATTGTGCCCAAAAGTCATCTTTACTGTAGTAGGTCTGCGCATACAGCCACTTCATACCGCCCATCTCGCCAAGCGTCTTCTCCAGCGCACGGTTCTTCTGCAAGTAGGTGACAGGGTCTTTAGGACCAAACCCCCAAAGACCAATATTCAGCATTTGATCTGACTTCAGGGCGCCTTTGGTGTGAGGGTGCATAGTCGGTTGGGGGCTTTGCTTCAACGGGCAGAGCCAAAGAGGCCAGATACCAAACGCCTTGTCGGTATAGTCGATGAACTTTTCGGCGTTAGGGTAGGGTAAAGCCATGTCTTGGACGATATAGCGTGTCGCAATCCCAGACGCATGAAGAGCTCGGTAGAGCATGCGCGTATGGAGGAAGTCGTCCAGGAACCAGCGAGTGTACTTGTTGAAGGGAAAGCGCATGTAGCTGAAAGCGGACCGACCAACCCAAAAGCCACCACGATCGTAGCGGAACATGTACTCAGCTAAGGGTATGTACTCCACCACTGGCTTGGTAGAATTCCGTGTAGCGGCTTCAACATGCAGATAGAACCACGGATCCCACGGATTACTGAAAGTCTGCGGCTTGGTGTTGGGTGGCAGATCATCTGTCATTTCGCCTGTGACGATCGCACCGTGTTCCTTGCTGAACAAGACGCCATCAACATAGTCGTTCCTCTCGCCTTTCTCACCACGTGTATGATCTTCGACTTCCTTGACGGCTTGAGCAACGCTACGTGTAGGATAGTATGTTGTCTTGACATATTTCTTCGCCTCGATGAGCCTCAAATCGACAAGCGTAGTAACCCCCAAGGTACCGACAGCGCCAGCAGCCCCTCTGAACAGGTCCTCATTCTTCTTCTCGCTAGCTTTGACGACTTCACCGTTGGCCATGACCATCTCTACCTCATTGATAGTGCGATCGAAGAACCCAAACTTGAAGCTACTACTCTCGCCAGCTGTACCCGCATACCCACCACCAACAGTGATACCAGGGAACTCCATCACGACTGGTGGCACAAGACCATGCGGTAGCGTAGCTTCTACAAGCCGATCCATAGGTACGTTTGGCTCGACAAGAGCTGTCTTGCTCTCCGTATCAACGCGTATGACATTCCGAAGAGCGCTGATGTCTACGACATGCTTCTTAAGATTCGGACGCGTGCTGTTTGTCGAGCCGTGAGATATCCGGAAGGGTTCTTTGCGCGTAAAGTAGTCTTTGACTTTGGATGCGACTTGCGCAACGACGCGCTGATGGCGATCCATCTTTGCGGGAGAAAAAAGAAATGAGAACGCCTGGAAATGCCAATGCTATTGATACATGATGTGAACTTTCGATGTGTGGTTGAGGGCGCGCGACTGCCGCTCGAAGTCGGGACAGACGCAGATTTTCTCCGATGCGCTAAACTTCACTCATGTGGCTAGCGCTCCCTGAACACCTTCCAAGGTTCCACCCGATCACATCACTTCTGTCGCTCGCGTCTTGTCGTTACTCCGATATCGTCTGCATTCTATGCGCATCCCAATTCCGCCAGCTGTACTCAGGCGTTGCTTGCTATCACGATCTGATGAGCTCACGGCATCACCTAGAGAGCCTCGACATACGGCCGGTCTATGACCTCATGATATTTCTGGAAAAGAAAGGCAGAAGGTGTCCTACGTAAGGGAATAAACGAACGAGCGTGGAATTGATCACGTGGAGAACCTCTCTGCAATACGGATAAGCCTGTCATCGCTGTATGCACCGTCGCGGTTCCATAGACTGGGAACACATTCTTCCTGAAATGGTTTAGACCGTTCCCAAGCGAATTTATCGCATACGTCCTCAGAGCTAACAACAAGTCATATCTTGCGACAACGCGTCCCTTCGTATTCATCACCGCCGTTCCGCTTGATAGCCAAGATGACTCCTCTTTTCGGCTTTCACTTCTTATCATTTGCCGCCATTTGTGCTCCCTGCGGAGGTTACATCGGCCTTGCAGAAGCGGGGCGAGTAACAAACAGCCAAGACATGGTATCTTCATGCTGTTAAATGTTCACGACACCTAACCGAGTGCGCGATCACTTGTATCGTCCCATACCGACCATGTTGATTTTGGTGTTGTCGCAGTTGATCGGCCTCGTCACCGCACTGCAGCCTCTTCCGCCTGTCTCACCACGCTACAGCAACAGCGATGACCTCGGCTTCTCTATCGGCACAGATACAGGAAAGATATACATCGATAGAAGTTTCTCCACAAAGAGAGACTCCGAAGGTCTGACGCTCATACCGCCAACCGCCTATGAGTTCGCTGAAACATTCCGCTCCGACGTCTCATCACTATTTGGTGGTTCCTGGACTCTGGAGCAAGTAGACGACTTCCCACTCACTGGCATCCATATCGGCCCGATTCGAGACAGCAATCTCTCATTGACATACGAGAACGGACATCCTACAGAAGAAGGATACGAGCTTGAGGTTACTAATGGCACTGTATACATAGGCGGAGCAGGTGCGAGAGGCATGTTCTGGGGAACGCGCACCCTACTGCAGAAGCTCCTGATCGACGACCGCTCTCTCATGGCGGGTCGGATAGTTGATGCGCCTGCATACAGCACACGAGGGTTCATGCTCGACGCGGGTCGTAAGTGGTACGATAAGAACTTCCTGAAAGAGCTCTGCACATATGCCTCTTTCTTCAAGATGTCAGAGTTCCACTATCACTCTAGCGACAACTATCCCTTGAACCGTGGGCGCAATGAGACGTGGCAGGATGTGTTCTCACACTTTTCGCTATATCCGGAAGAAAATGTAGAACTGCAGGCCATCATCCAGCGCCCCAACGAGACACTTTCACGCGCTGACTTCGAAGACTTCCAAACTCATTGCGCACAACGTGGTGTCACCGTCATTCCCGAGATCGAAGCACCAGGCCATGCCTTAGCGATTACGAAATGGAAGCCTGAGTTAGCGCTAGCAAAGAAGGACCTGCTCAATCTGACCCATCCGGACGCAATCCCGACAGTCAAAGCCATCTGGTCCGAGTTTCTTCCATGGTTTCAAACTAAGGAAGTACATATCGGCGCTGATGAATACGACTCCGAGCTAGCGGACGACTACATCAACTTCGTAAACGAGATGGCCGAATTCATCAACAGTACTTCTGGGAAGCGCGTACGTATCTGGGGCACTTACGAGCCATCCGAGAACCTCACCATCTCGAAAGACATTATAGTACAGCACTGGCAGTACGGTCAATCTGACCCACTCGAGCTCCAGAACGATGGATACGATATGATCAACTCTGAGGATTGGTGGGCATACATGAGTCTCAAGAACGATCACATGCCCATCCTCCCGGCACCATACCCGCAGTTCTTCAACAATACGCGCACGATGAACTTTGCCAACGTACCAGGATGGCAGTGGGAACCATCTCTCTACAATCCAGTCAACACCACAGAGCAGCTGGAGCCCAGGGCTAGCGGCAACAAAGGCGCTATTCTTGCAGCTTGGAACGATAACGGTGCGGATGCAACTGCGCAGCTGGAAGCCTACTATGCGATGCGAGAGGGTATACCTGTCGTGGCGGCGCGTGCGTGGTCTGGTGTGCGAGGTGCGAAGATTGAGCCAGACGAATTGGCGGACAGCATTGCGCTCTTGGTATGTCCATGCATAATGAGATATTAACACATATTGACCTGGTGGCTAACACAAGTTTTGCTAGGCAACTAAAGCTCCGGGACAAAACTTAGATCGCCGTTTTACGAGCACGAGCATAGATACGAAAAGCTCAGCGCTGGTATCATGGACGCGAAACTCTTCCAGTAACAGCAACGCGACATTAGGAATGGGCTCATACGGACCACCGTACACCCTGACCCTAAACGTATCCTCATTCTTCACCTTGACCGGCCCTGATACCTCGCTCTCTATCGCTACTCTTCCAAACAACTCCAGTGATAGCATCACAACACTCATGTTCACCACAGCCGATGGCTTCGAGTATCCTCTACGTTCCGTGTCTCCGGTTGATGGCCACGATACTGGACATCCGGGTCGTATATGGACCAACCAGACGACATCCTCCCATGAACCTGTGCCGATTACACTGCCCGCAAATTTGCGCATTGAGACCGACATTGTTAGCGGTAGTCGGGTGTGGGTCAATGAAACATTCGCGGGTCGGTTCGAGGTGTTTGTGTTTGGGGGACGGAATACGCTGTTTAGCTGGAGTCCGATGGCTCTTGTTGCGCCGGTGGAAGTGGTAGATGGTGGTGTTGATAGTTTGATGCTTCAGACTGGCGTTGCGCTAGGTGCGTTATAGGAGGATGTAATGCAGTTGACGCAATATAGAAATTGCGGACACTATACACGATGTAATGAGATTTGGATAGACAAGCTTGATAGGCTTTGGGTCCTCGCATCAATGTTATTCATCAACGGTAGCCCGAGCATGTTTTTTGAGTGCATACAGTCATACTAGGTCCATCGATTTCCTTTCATCCCTCAATACGTCGCTGTTAACCGCCCAATAATATAATCCCCACTCATAACATCCTCGTAATTCCTGCCCTTCTCATATGTGCCCGGTATAGCCTCGATCTTGCGATCGTAATTCGGGTTGCAGAAGTAGGCTATTGAGTATCGCGGTGGGTATTCGTCCTTGTCGGCGTCCTCCGGCTTTGGCGGTGGCTCCATAACGCGGTGCTTTGTTGACTTGATGGTGTCGTTCGACCAGCGTGCTAACAGATCGCCCGCGTTGACGACAATGGTGTCTGCGATGGGGGTAGCGTTGACAAAGGTGCCTTTCGGGGAGCGGACCTGAAGACCACCGCGGGCGTCTTGGAAGAGGAGCGTTATAGAGCCTGTCGTCGTGTCAGTCAAATTCTATTTCCGAGTTGCGATGACCACCATACCGTAATCGCTGTGCTCTCCTGCGCGCACCTGCTCCTGCCCATCGTTCCTCTTGAAGATGCTCTTCGACACACCCGGGTAGTGCAGCAGCCTCAGCGTGTTGTCGCCCGCATCCGTAAAACCATCGAACCACTTCTCATCAATACCCATGCCCAGCGCAATAGCGCGCATAACCTGCATGTGCAGGTCCTTGCATGTCTCGAAGAAGCCTATCATCTGCTCCTTGAACTGCGTCGCCTCGTCGTCTCCACTCGGCCACATGTTCGGCATCTCAGGCTGGTCGTCGCGTCCAATCTCCATGCTCTCCTTGAGATCTGGCACCAAGGCGCGCATCTCCGCTTCTGTGCCTGTCTCCTCCAACACTACCAGCTTCTCCCGCCCTTGTGTAACATAGCCGCGATTGGCGGCCGCTGAGTACCATGCCAACTTGTCTTTCTGCTCTTTTGGTCGCGCGAAGAACTTGGCGGAGTGCGAGAATACGGTGGATACGGTCGAGGGGGATATGCCGTGGTTCTTTAGGTAGATGAAGCCCGCGTTTTGGAAGCCTTTGAGGACGGCGTCGGCGGTTTGCTTCTTCGCGTCGGCGTCGCCTGAGAGGAACACGGAGAAGTCGATGAGCTAAGCATTGTTAGGCGCTGATCGGAATGCCTGAGTGAATATGAAGTACCGGAATCTCCAGATCGTCCTGCGAGACGGCTGATGTGATGTTCGCCATGTCGTCACTCCTTGTCGCGTCGTTTCGGTCCGAGCTTGGAAGGGGGTACAGGAGAACGGCTGCTATAAAGACACACTCGCGTGGTGGAAAGAGAGACGTGAGTATCAGGCGATTGACGCGTCGGCGGCCATCTCCGACGTAGTTCAGCCATGATGGGACAGCTCGGTGTTGTAGGCGGGGTTGCTGCCGAACACAGAAGGTGTACACGAGCGCGATAAGGCTAATGGTGGGGTCGCGTGGGTGGAACCTCAACACCACGTCTGCATCGTGATATTCATCTCCGCCTATCATACAGCCGTCTCAATGACATCGAGCTCAATACGTCTCAGCATGTCTCATTTTTGCTCGAACCTCACTGCTCTTCACTCAGCTGGTAGGCCTGAGATGATCGTCTTGTCGCTGGTCGCACCGCCACTTTGGACCCGTCATCATCAGTTTAGACATCGGTTGACTACCATGTCAGGAAATCTTAGTTGTTTGATAGGAGGAGAACACTTGAAACATGGCTTGCATTACGATATTGGTAAGGCGACGGAAGCGATCCTCGTTTGCGTAGTTCGAAGCAAGATATCCAAACGACTACAGACATGTTTTAGGTTACGGAAGAAGCACGACAGCTCATCTTGATACCTGTAAAAGAACCTTGATGAACACACCAACACATCAAAAAGCACAGCAATGACTGGAGGGCAGGATACGGTTTCAATTCGCTCAGTGAAAAAGTATGCGAGTTCATCAACGTCTTGCGATGGTATCTACCTTTCCCATGTCGACTTTTTCGTCTTCTGCAGTCAACGAATATGGTCAACAGCTTGTAACTAAGAACGAGCTCACTTCGCTTCTTTCCAGCGATTCTCAAAAGCGCCCACAAAGAGTTATCCCACTGGTCTTTCAAGTATTTATTTGTTTTATCTCTTCCTCAATTCCACGCATAAAGCGCGGATATCAATGAAAAGAAAAGGTGGGCCGTAAGTGAACCCGTTATTGCCAGTCCCAAGCTTCTCATCTTCCATTCAAGATCTTGTCTCATTGGTAAGAGGGTGATAAAAAATGGTAAGCGATCCACGATGGTCTGAACGCTCACGTCATCTACTAGAGATGTCAACCCAAACACCCAACATCTCCAACGTTAATTTTTACCAGAACGCCGGATTTGCTGAATGCTTGGTAAGTATTTCGTCCAGGATCGAGCATGTCATCAAGATGACGTAGCTCTGGGCAACGAGAGGAGCGGACTACTGCGCCGGACGGTCGCGATCATGACCCGCTCGTCGTTCTCGTACTGTGCGCGGATCCATACAAGTAGCGACGAGTCGCACCAGGTGCTCTGGCAGTGCTCGAATGCGCTTGAATTGGTCGGGGTACTTGTCGAGTGAAGTCTTGTCAAAATCAGCCGTTTCTGCAGTGCGAACTGGGCCGGAGACTGTTTCTCCTGAAGAAGAAAAAGAGAGCAAGAAGGGCAGGGGAGAGCGAGATGATATACTCCTAGTAACACGCTAACAATCGCTCACGTGATGCCAGTAATTCGCGCGCTGGAGCCTAGAGGACGCAGGAACCGCGTGTGAGTAGTGAAGGGGAGAGGAGTCTCAGCTCCCAAACAGGTTAGTCCCACGTCACTGCAAACACCCAGCGCACACAACGACAAAACGCGCTCATCCCCAAATTCTCAGACTACCATCCTCTCCCATTGCCTACCATTCCGACCCGATCATGGACCCACCACGCGTCCAGGCGCTCGTGGAGGAGCTGAACCAAGAGAGAGAGGCCCACAGTGCGACCAAACAAGAAGTCATCAACCTCAGGAAGCATCTGAGGGAATCGGACCGCAAGCGGAAGGTCCTTGAAGGCGACAACGAGCTCTTGGTCCTCAAGTGCAAGTTCCGAGAGGGAGATGGTGAAGACAAAGACGGTGGAAGCAGCGATGGCGACATGACAGCAGTCCATACTGACGACAAGGCGCTCAAGTCTGACCTACCCGACGCCCCAATCCATCACCCAGGAATGTACAAGGCATTCTCGGCCTCACATTCGGAAAGTCTGAACGCCTCGTCTTCGGCAAACTACTTGGACCACACCACCCACGCTCTCTCAGAAGACAATGTCGCCGGCTCTACCCACGGTACCAAGCGGACCTTCGATGAAACCAAGTAAGTAGTCGCCACGATACCACAGCCATTCCGCTAATTGCTCTACAGTTCCGAAGATACCACGCGCGTCATCGTGTGCATACACTGCTATCAACTCAAGCTCCGATGTGACTCCGGAGAACCTTGCAACAACTGCGCCACATTCAAGCGCCTTTGCAAGAGGGCCAAATGCAAGGACTACGAGACTGGAGAATGCAAGCGAGCCAGCTGTCTGAGAGCACATCGCGAGGATGAGGAGGTATACGACAACATCGTCCGTACAGGACATATCGCGAGGGTTGATCCTTCCAAGCCCGCGAAGCCCAAACCAAAGAGGCGGCGGGCCTTCCGGTGCAAGAAGAACGACGATGACAAGAAGGGGGGTTCAGGAGACTCTGATGGTGGTGATGGTGGTGGTGGTGGCGGTGGTACGAGTACTCGCGTTCCTCTGCATTATTAGTCCTACAAGGAGTGCCACGAGGATATCAGGAGTGAGATGGAAGCCACCCATGAATTTGATAGAGCACAAATGTAAACATACACTTCTCGATGCTGCCCAATTCCCTCCTACTTTGGATCAACGCTGCTATATTCGTGAACTCTCAAGTAGGCCTGTCATGCTACAGGAGATTTCCGGGCTGCAGTATCGTTAGCGGCGCGCCCATGTATCTCATAGGTAGGTTGTCAGCCAGCCATGCATTGGGCAATTTGGACAATGTTTACCTCAAACACTACCATCCTTCTGCTTTTGTCGCCGCGCCAAAGAGATGTCGTCAGGAACGAGGATGAGTATTGATCAACCTCCGTGGACTATATAGGATGAACTGTAGTATATGTGTCTCAAATAACATGGTATTGCGTTCCAGCTACCCGGGGACGGCAGCTGTCGGATTTGACACTAGGAGTGGCTACAGTTTGAGGGGCATTTTGTAAAAGCGACATTGAGGTAGAAGTATACATGATCTCAGAGATAGTCCAGTTGTCAACATTCGATTGTATGTATGCGATACAAGTTCTAGGCACTCCTGGTGCGGATGAACTTAGACAATTGCTGCTTGCACCATGATCCGCTGATAAAGACTATCCAGCCTTCGCACCTGGCAAGTCTCGACGTCTTAGTCTACTTCGCCAGGATACTAGGCGCAGACATAACAACACACTGGACAAGCATTGGTCAATGGTTGTCTTATGGGCTGATACTGACTTATCTCACTCCGATGTATTTCCTTTGTTGGGTGAGTTCGGCGACGATGATAATTCTCATGCGATTTTACTGAATGATCATTTCTATCATCGGTCCATTCTATACGTAAGGCTACGGTATCTTATGATGAAGCGTTCATTGCCAACTCTTTCCCTACTAGGCAACGTTCAGACAAGCAAATTACCTAGTCAAGGTCTTCAATCCACCTGTACAAGTAAATCTCCAAGAGCTCGTTCTTGTACATCCTAATTTCCGCCTTGATCTCCGCATTTTCCGCCTCGAGCTTAGCTTTCCTGGCTTTTAAAATCTCGCGCTCGATCTTCTGGGCCCCCACCTCAACCCTATCGACAGCAATCCTCCTTCTGAGCACTGCGTGTTGCTTCTTCGTCTCTTTTATCACCTCCAAAGATCTCGCTGTCTGCGCCTCAATCATCGCTATCTCCTCGCGAAATGCTTTCTTCCTTTCCTCCTTGGCTCTTGCCTTCTCCTCCTTGACTCTCGCTCTCTCCTCCTCCCTCTTCTTTGCCGCTTCTTTTCTTGCCATCAACTCCTTCTTTACAGCCTCCGTCTCCTCCACTAGACGAGCTTTCTCCTCCGCTACACGAGCTTTCGCCTCTTTGTTCATGTCGATACTTTGGTGCAAAAGCTCGGCCCACTCTCCGAGCAATTGCTCGTGAAGGACCCGATGCGCTTCCTTGAGTTCCTCATGATGACGGACAATGGAGGGGTTGGCGTTGATCGCGAGCACAGCTTGATAGTCTTGTTCGATTTTGGCGGCATCGGCAACGAAGACGAGATGTTCCTTTTCTTTTGCTGAGAGCTGCGCATCGAGCTGATCGCGAATCTCGTCGGCTGTAGGCGGACCGAAGAATGGGAGGGCTGTGGTATCTGTACCGTCGTCGCTGTCGGTATGTGTGTTGTCGGGCTCGGTGGAAGACATCGTGGATCGCAGAAGACGGCGTGTCGCGCTTGTGGAGCAGTATGTAGACTCAGACGAGAAGACAGGATAGCGATGGCTGTAGTGGTGACAGAGTTTGAAGCGCGGAGTTGTAGAGTTTGTGTGCTCCTTGGCAGATCTAGCCCGTTACGGATACGTCAGTGAAAGACACAGACGGCGGTTGCTGGATATGTGACGACTTACTCAAGTCAAGATCGAGGTTATCGTTGCTGAGCAAATAGAAATAGATCATTTGTCGAGCGGCGCGTGTAGAGACACTGCCTTTTTCGGTGTCGGTAGCGCCAATAGAGCCTTGAGGGTGTAGGCAGCAAAGCATACGGTCAGGTGTCGGTGTATTTGAGCGTTTGATTGGCCTCTCCTTTCCAACTCGTTGTATCATTCGCAGATAAGGCCGTTTGGTTTGCCTGGGTGACGTCGCAAATTATCGCGAAAATACGCACTGACTATAACGCGTTCTCACTTACTCAAAGTCGCACAATTTGGACCGACTCTCCTCTCTCTCCACCGTCCTCATCTTCATTTCTGAGTACCCATACGCAATTGCGACACGCCGATCAGCTCCGCATATCCCGCCGCCTCCCCGCCACGACTTCCCCGTCACGAGTAAGTTCTGACTGTACGAAGTGCAAGTGAGACATGTACTGACTTCATACCTCTACCTCTGCAGCCGGTTTCACGATGTCTTCTCATACAGGCACCTTCAACGTTCCTGCTACACGGGCAAGCCGCTATGTAGACCCCGATGTGCATGAGGAGCTTGTATTGGCCTTCGCGGATCTGGAAGTTCGTCACGAGGAGCTCGAACGAAACTACGATGACCTCGAGTATGCGTACGATCAGGCGAAGGCACTCGTCGAGCTCGCCCCTGACGACTCCGACGCCACAGAAATGCCTCCCAACTACAACAAGACGAACAATGACCCCTCAAACGACGACTGGTACGGCCCCTGTATCGAGGCTCAGGCTAAGGTCCAGACTCTCGAGGCAGAAGTCGCCAACCTCAAGTACAAGCTCTTCGTTTCTGGGCTTACCGACCAGCCATGGAGCGGAACCGTTGTTGCGCCTGCAGCCGAGAATACTTCCCCCAACGAGCCACCGGATGAAACCACTGTTACGTCTGCGGCCGAGACTGCTTCCCCCACTGACGAGCCATCGGATGAAACCATCGTCGCGCCTGAAGCTGGTCCTGCTCCCACCGACGACGAGCCGAGAGGCCACAAGCGTACTCTCTCGCAGTCCGAGGTCGCATCAACTGAGAATGTCGAGAGCAAGAAGGCCCGCCCTGCATTCTGGAGTGGAGACCTGACGAGGCGACCTAAGAAAAACCCAAAGAGACGTCAAGCACAGACACAGGTTTGAGGTAGACATACCCCCAGACATGTATTGTACAAAATGCTAACATATCTTTTAGCAGCTACATGGGCTCCCGTTGGTATCTTCAGTCACCCGGAAGCTCACTGAAGCTTGCCGGGCCTCATCGTTGGTCCTGATGTATGTGGTAGCGTTGGGGATGGGTTGCAGCATACTGGGCCGGATTGCAAGGCTAGATAAAATCGCTGAGTTGGTAATAAGGAATTCGAAGCACTAAACTATTGAGATAGACAACGTGATTGTGATCTAACAGCCTCCCCGGTGATTTATATGTTGCATGTGCATCCGCTGTTGATGCGATGTTGTCGTGAAAGAGAGGCGAGAATCTGGGACTCGTGAGGTTGGAAGACACGTACCTCGGCGTTAAAGTGGATACCTCGATGCTTAACTCCGAGCTTGTGAGGCGCAGCTTCCTCAACACCGCCATCTCAAGACATGCGGGCCTACTCAACACTACCGACAGCTCAACATGTCGTTCCCGAAGCGCGCATGTCCACTGTTCGAGCTTCCACAGGAGCTTCTCGAAAGCGTACTCAGCTACCTTCTTTCGTCCCGAGACGTCTCGAACCTGTCTCGTACCTGCAAAGCTCTGCATACAAAGACCGTAGCGTACCTCTACAGCAACATCAGCATGGAATGGCAGGTCGTTCAAGCAACTCGCCCACTGACTGTTGCTGGTGTGGATGTCCCACAAGCTCTCCGTCCCAACCTTCTTTTGCAAGCGATCTTGGCGAATCCCGCGTACGCGCAATCGATTACTGCTTTGAAACTGCAGAGTACCGGGCTTGGGAATTTTTGGTATTCGTCGTTTAATTATCCACGCAGACGGGAGCCTTTGGAGAAGCGGCACCCGGATGTTGCCCCAAATTGGACGAACGCGAAGCAGCGACTGGCCCTGGACGCCGTACGGAATGTAGGGCTGGAGTGGCACCATAGAGGACGGGAAGATCCTTTTGCAGTCAGCGGTTGCTCTTGGTATGAAGCCATCCTGATGTACGATTTGGATGCTACCATGGCGCTGCTCGTGTGGATGTGTCCCAATCTTGTATCACTCGATCTAGGGTTCCACATCGGCGACGACGTAGTGTACCTCCCTGAGGTCTTGTGGAGGATGTCCTCTGCTGGTGCAGAGTCACAAGCTCTAGGATGTCGCAAGCTTCGAAACGTTCATCTCGGCCATGTGCACATCGATAATGAGGAGGAGCAGCCGAGTGATAGGTGGAGTCGGGTCAGATATCTACACCCACATCTGGATTGGAGGGGATATTGGGCCTTCTTTTGGTGTCCAAACATCCAGAAGATTGAAATGAGCCTAATGGATGAGACTGCTTACGCAGGTTTCCAGAAAGCAACACCTCTACCTGTCTGCTCAACGTTGACGATATTGAGACTTGGCGAGTCTTCAGTGAAACCAGACACACTCGCGAAACTGCTGTCTTGCACACCATCTTTGAGGAAATTGGACTACGAATACTGGGTTCGCGATCAGGCGTTCATCACCGTGGATTGCGCATCGCTCAGTGCCGCGTTCAACAGTGTTAAGAACACCTTAGAACATTTGAGATTCTTCTGTCAAATGCATTCGCCGGGGTCCGTTGACGTCTACGGTAAATGCCACCTTCGGGACTATCCCGTTCTCTCCCACCTTCACGTCTCGCCTGCTGTGATACTAGGCGATGACGCTTCCCTTTGGCCCCGAATCGAGGCTGTTATGCCATCGAGCTTGGAGGAGCTGTGCTTTGTCGACGACGATTTACTCGAGTTCTGGAGCCCGAAGGAATTGATACCGTTGCTAGACGACTTTTTCCAGGGCGATTGGAGAGCTAGAACACCAAAGCTGCAACGCGTGTACGCGACGGACAACAAGTCTTGGCTGGATGCGTATGGAACGGACTATCTGCGGCTTTTGAGCGAACGAAATGGATTAGAACACGGTGAATAACAACAGAGCAAGAGAATGAAGCTTTCAAGAATACAACATCGCGACTGTCGGGGATTCTGGGACGAGAACTCCGAAGCCGAGACAATACGAAATGTCCAGTCGGCGCGAAACGTTCCGCCGTGTACCGACATCACGATGATGGCGATGATGTTCGTGCTGCATCGGGAGCTGGACCCTGAGATCGCGTATTATGGGATGACGTCTTCGATTGAGGACAGACGCGACGCGAGACCGTACAAAGACAATGGCATACCACGATTTCTTGCTGAACCTCATCCTACATCTACAATCCCATCTCGCTGCATCGCATTCGTATACGTGACCATACGTGCGTTCCCACCACAACCTCGAATACCATCACAGCCTCCAGTATGGGCAACACACAGTCGACGGTGCGCTACCTTGCGCCGGCATCCTTCATCTACGACTTTGCTTTGCAACAATATGGCATCTTTTCGTCGCCCAACATGATGGATATCCATAACCGGAATCTTGCTGCCTTCAGCCCATACCCATACTTCATTGGCGCATTCTTCTTCCCACAGCAAATCTTCCAGCTGGTCTGGCTGTGGAAGCTATGGAAGCAAGATGGTAATGCGCAAGAGTGTGCGATGATGAACAAGTTTGCTTGGGTTTACAGTCTGGGCAACTTTTGCATTGGAAGTACGTATCATTCAAGTACAACGTGGTGGTGTAGGATGCATATTGACGTGTGCGACAGCCTGGATGTTCTTCTGGAACTCGAACAACTTGGAGACATCGAACATCTTCGTCATTATCAACACACTGGCGCAAGTCGGTTACATCGCTACGGCGCTTGAACCGCTCGACACGCGATCAACACCCAACCTCCTCACCCACATTGTCTCGAAGACATTCGCGGGTATCGGTGTACTGGATCTCCTACACAACACATCTGCAGCCTACTTTGTAGGTGTAGAGCCCAGTTCGCTGGTGCAGGTGGCTACCGGTGTTGGTTTCGCCGCGGCGGCAAGCATGAGCGACTGGATCTTCGGCGGCTGCTTGGTATACGACCTCGTTGCATTGACTGTTGGACAGGAGGGCAACTGGTCGAGGCTGCTAGGCGGATACGCGGCCATGACAGCGGGTATTGTGGCCTTCAGGAACTTCTTCTAGTAGGTGCACTCGGCCGTCGCATGCTGAGTCGTGCTGACGGATCGCAGTCCAAGGTGGAAGGCGCAGAAGGAGGGAAGGTACGCCAGGGTCGAGAATGGCGGTGACGTGGTTTAGATATTGGGGGGTTGCAGGTCGCGATACTTACCTTGATGCGGACATCTCAGTGATGTGCACGTTGATTACTTCCTATAATGATAATTAAACTTCGTATCACTCTGCGGTCTTGGTAGCACATCCAGTCTGGTTCGCTGTTTTTAATATGCAGGTTCCAGAAGCTCGACACACCACGATGCCTCAAGTCCGGCCTCACTCATGGTGGGTTTCTGTTACGTTTCGGGGCAGATCTTAGTGCAGTGTATTAGTTGAGGCTTGGAGGCCGAAGCGACGGACCCATCCGATGGCGGAGAGGAGGGGCAGATAGGCATGCATCGTCATTACAGCTGGCGCGCTATAGGCCGACCCCATATTGAAGTTGCTCGATCTGTGATGTGCGTAGATCTGGCGATGGCAGATTGGTGCTGCAAGATCCAGCCGGTGTCCCTTCCGCGTGACGTGCCAGCCTGATGGTCGTCGCCAAGGCCCGCGAACGGCGGCAAGCAGCTCGGAGACATGTGCGCTAGCATGATGCGCGTGCGCGCCCTTGCCCTCGAGATAAGCAACTCTTATCAATCACTCATAGCATCCCACCCGCCCAAGTCACACTGCTCCCGTCATGGCAGGCCTAGCCGCAACGGATACCGCTTGGCCTCGCATCGGTCATGCGAGCCCGCCGGGGGATCCTCTAGCATGTGGAGATGCTTCCTTTTGGGAGCCTGCGGTTGGCTGCGGTGGATGACTGTTGACGGCCGTGAGCTGCTGTATGTCTTCTGTCACCTTGCTCTGACGTCTCGTGTCTTCTTCACGACTCCTCCTCTTCCATTGCCTGCATCCCGCGCTTCTCGTGGCTGTCATAACCTCCATTTCTGCACGCCGAGTCTTATCAGCAACTGACCGGTTCCACGACGTCACAGCGCCGAGCTTTGGAACAGCGACTCTCACGCGACAACTAATACACATCTCTTGAAGAACGGTCGATCAACCTGTACTTCAATTCTGATACCGACGTTACGCGTGCGTCGTATATGAGGTTGCATCCACGCCTCTGTGGCTGTACCAAGAGCCCGAATCAGCGCCTGACCACCCAGCCTGCGCTACCGAGACGTGAGGAAGAAGCAAGAAGCATCCGGGACTACGCGCGTTGGAGTTCCGGTTGACTCTCTACGGCAGTCACAGTCCAGGAAGTTGCGTCGTTCCTTCCCATCGAACCCTCGAATTCGACCTATGGCACCATGCCTCCATACCTATCCCCTCTACACATAGCCAAACCCTCGTTACCACCGACCTGCGAACCTGCGAACGAGTTTCTGTATCATCTCTCGGCGGCTTTCCACACCTGCGTACCTACGAACCTCGCGCTCGTCTCGACATTGCTCGGCACGTGCAGCATCATATCATGGCTGTTCGCACAGCTACCACAAATATACAAGAACCATAAGCTGAAGTCGACATCTGGACTGAGCGCGTTCTTCTTGACAGAATGGCTCCTGGGTGATGTGACGAACCTGTTGGGCTGCCTGTTCACCGGGCAGGCGTCATGGCAAGTCATTATCGCAGGCTACTACGTCTTCGTCGACTGCTGCCTGTGTGGTCAGTGGGTGTGGTACGAGCTGCTGCACCACGGACGGCCGCTGAGGCCGATCTGGGGGCGATGGAGCAGCTCAGCTGGCAGCGGTTCAGGTGGCGGAGGCTCTGCCATGCATCAGGTTCTGGATGGGATGAGCATAGGCGGTACGAACAACGCGTCTAGCCCGCCAAAGTCACCGCAAGATTCAAGCGACACGAAGAACGTTGCACAGGATAGCGCGGCCAA